CCTGTGTAAGGGAGCAAGAATACCTTGCCCCCTTCACAGGGAGTAAGAATTTCCTGTCCCTTTCAAGGTCCTTCTAGCTCGACTAAAAATCAAGTCAATGGGAGTCAGATTAACAGAAGAAAATCAAATTTAATAGGCATACGTATGGGGACTCCACATAGACATAGAAATTCCAAAGAGAGTGCAGCAAAATGAGGGATATATGTCATTCTGAACTAAGGAGAATGGGATAGGGTTCTGGGACTTCAAAGGAAAGGAGTGTACTTCACAGGGCAATAAGAAGAGCAGATGTTTGGTAATTAGATGTTTGCCCTGTCATACAGACGGGTCACTCAGATAAAATTTATCTTTGCTAATAACCCTTATTCTGGTAACCTACTCCAATTTAGATTCTTCTGTGTAGTTAAGAAAGGGGCAACATTTTCTCTGGAGCCCGCAGGATCTCCATTGTCTTCGGCTCAAAATAATCCACATGCCAAAGTGGCACATTCTTGGGGGGGGGGGGGGCTGTCCCAAACCCCTTCACCTGTTATAAAGGACATTAGCAGACAATTGGGGAAATGTGGATAAAGTCTGAGATTAGACAACAGTATAACCAATTTTATTATCCTAATTATGATAGCTCTACTCTGGTTAACTAAGAGAATGTCCCTGTTCTTAGGAAAATAAAGGGAAGTATTTAGGTGTCAAAGAACCATGAGGTATGCAATGTACTCTTCAACAGCTCAGGAAAAAACAAGTAGAAGGTAAAGGAATGATAAAGCAAACACAGTAAAGTGTCAATATGTGGGGAATGGTGGGGGAGCGTATTATTTAGCCAATTTTCCTGTAAGTCTGAAATTGTTTCAAAATAAAAGGTTAAAAATGAAAAAAGGTTTTAAAACCCTTGCTATAAGGATTACATGAGTTAATACTTACAGAGAACATAGAACATAGGCTCTAAAATTTTTGTGACTACGTATTCTTACTACCACAGAATCAAGAAGTGACAGGGCCACCTCTCTGTGCGCCTTCATACCCTCCCTTCGTCATTCAGAGTTGTGGAAAATCCAATGAGATAACTGACAGGAAATCCTGCATATAAACTGTGAAGTGCTGTACCGTTGGGAATGTTTCTAAGCTTGTGACATGAGCTCCAATTCTTGTGGATAACTGTGAAATGGGTTAATCAGTCTTGTTGGTGAGGTAATTGAGGTACAGAAAGCTCAACCAACTTCACTAAGGTGACAAGGTCGGAAGTCAAGCCCTGGCTTTCAGTCTTTCCTTTAGATAGCAAGGAAAAGTTTAGGAAAAGGAAACTTTCCCACCCTGACATTTTTCATCCTGCTCTGTCTGAAAGGCTATGAGAGGTCAGGTTGTGACCCCTTGACCCCACCCTGAGGCCAGCTCAGTCACCTTGCCTGGAGCCCAAGGATGGGCTCAAAGTGGTGCGCACTGTGGATGGGGCAAACCTAAGGGCAACCAATTGCATTTGTGTCCTCCCTTCTCTATCTGATGCTGAAAAGACACCTTTCTTAAGCTAGCAAAGATTTTTCTTTTCTCTCCATCTGCAAATACTGAAGGAATGTTGTGTGTTGGGGGGTGAGGGGTGGTGGTGGTACTCCTGCATGCCCAGGATTCTGACCTTTACACGCATCCAAATACCCAAGGTTGTTTCTTCTTCATACTGGTCTGTTTCCTTATTAACATTTCTAAACAGTAAATTAATTAAATTAAAAAAAAATCTATAGGTTGGCTAGAAAACAAATGTTTCTTCCTGATCTTAGCATTGCATAATGGGCTCCAAATGAATGAGTATCTGAAATTCATTTTTTACGCTGACCACATACAGATTTGCTTCACTGATTAAATACGAAGAACGCATCTATAGGTGATTTTCCTCCTTGAGGTGCTCAATGCATTCTACAGAATGGCAATCACAAGTAAGTCAGAAGCAGAAGAGAAAATGCTTAGAGAAAACGGTCCTAAAAAAAAAAAAAAAGGTCAACCTCAGTTTCCCCATCTGTAAAGGAATCAATGGGTTTACTGTCACAGCTGAATGGCAAAATAAACAGGAGAGAAATATTTTCTATGAACAGTACTTAAGTTAAAACAAATACCCCAGATTCAGCAATGGTACAGTTAGGAAATATTTACTTTTCAGTTCCTACCCAATCTCAAATACTTCTCAGCTGGGAGATTCACTGAGCCTCCTGATTTGACTGCTAACCAATAAGAAGTTCCTGAAAACAGTCCTTCTGTTTTCCTTATGTCTCTTGTGAAACATAGCCCAGCATGGGTCAACAGTGGATGGGTCAGTGGGGGAGCCCTGAGTTTAAAAACAGAAAAGGAAATTGAAGTTATTATGAGCAAATGGATAAGAGCAAGCAGGTTTCTGATGCAGGAATTTTCTTATTTGGAGGAATACGTTTAGTTTTTTGTTGTGGTGGTGGTTTGTTTTGTTTAAGGAAAGGGATATTAAAGTGCCAGAACAGCCCAGGAATCTCTTACAAATTGGTAGACTCATAAAAAACATTAATATTCTGCTCCTATTTGGCATTCCTCTAAGCAATTAAACTAAAGGATGTCAAAATATTTTATTTACCATTACACTTCGACAGATATAATCATCGACTGATAGCTTTATGCACATCAACTGGCTTTCTGATTTCTTCAGGAAGCAATAGATTAAGCCACTTCAGTACCACTTCATTTACTACCCCCAATCATAAATAATAAACTCAATCCACTTACAATTTTACAACAATGATTTGCATATTTGCCTTCAGGTGGTAATTTTTCTACAAGCATCAAGTTAATTGTTATTTGGCCACTCTTATTTAACTTCTCATTAAGATTTCTTTAGGGTAGTCAACATGTCAACTTTTGCAGCATTCATGCAAAGAAACAAGAAGTATATAAAATACAAATACACTACAACAAGTATATACAAATTATTTTTTCATTCACCATTAAAGTGCTTTAACACTATTATTTATTAATTACTACAATTTATTAAGCATCAGATTCCAAGCACTAAGGGAGACACTTTTAACCCCTATCTCTACTTCTTACAAGGAACCTTGAAGGTAGGTACCATTATATGCCTTACACAGAAGAGAAAACCAAGGTCCACAGTTGGTGACTGCTCTGAGGCCTCTCAGTTGAAAGGGGGTTACTTTCCCCCTTGCATTTCTTCCTCCCCCCACCCCACAAGCCACTGGACTCTATCGTGTCCCCCCCCCCTTTTTAAACTTACTTTTAGCCCCACTATAATATTTCACATTAGTGGAATATAGTCTTCGTTGTTGTTAAATCCTGTGACACATTATCCCTTCATGCAGTTCTGGACAATTCCAGGTGTCAGAAACCATTAGCATAACAGGGGCAATACTGAGTAAGCTTTTTTGACCCATGCTTTTGATTGAGTACAATGCATTTTGCCCAGTTTTAGTTGGAAGGCCCGTGACGTTTTAAATTTCTGCAAGCCTTTTGAGGGTAGGAAAGAGATTTTATTCACCTTTACATGTCTGCTGCTGGACCCGGAGTCCCCAGCACACAGTAGGCACTTGAGAATACTGAATGAATTGGCTATCTAGGTAATTGTTTTATTCTAAAAATCCTTAATTAGTTAAATGAACGTAATACAAATTTTAAAATGGTATATTTAGTGAAGGCTTTGTGTCTTCAAAATGTTATTAGCCCCTGCAGGGACCTGGGATGGAGAGGACAGCGGGTAACTCGTCCCTCTGGGATGGATGGGCACTATGTGGTAATATCACCCACCTCAACCTAGTTCTACTTGGGGGCTTCCCCACACTTGTACCGCTGTCGGTCAGGGAGAGGAACCATGGAGGGGGCAGCGGGGACCCAGCGCCACCGCACGCACGCGGAGAGCCACGTTGAAGTTCAAAGGAGCGTTTTTATCAGCAAACAAAGGGCGGCGCCGTCTCGGGTCCCGGGACCAGCTGCGGCCGCCCGGGAAGGGCAAGAAGGCCGCGGTGACAAATGGACATTCCGCACGCGAGCAGACGGACAGCCGATCTGCGGCTCCCGGCGGCCCCACCCACCGGCTCCAGCTGCCGGGCCCACAGTCGCCACCCGCTCCACGCGCCCAGCGAGCAGCCTGGGGGCGTCACGGTCCCGAGAACTTTCCCATCCTTCGGGGACAGGGGCCGGCGGTGGGGAGGGGCGGGTAGGTGGGGGCCTCTACGGAATTCCTTCCCCGGACTTGGTGGGCTGCCCTTCGCAAGTGGAAGGTGGCTGGTCTCCAAGTCCAATTCCGACCCCGGGGCGCCCCGGAGAAGCTCCCGGGAGCAAGGACCTGGCGGTCGCGCGGGAAGAACAAAGGGAGCCAGCGGGCCCGGGAGGATGTTGCGCTTCCCTGCGCCCCACCCGGCCGGCTCGCGGGCGCTGCCTCCTGCGCAGGTAGCCCGGCCTGCGGCGCGGCGGGAGGGTGTGTTCAAGCGGGGAACACAAAGACTCACTTCCGCGGGGCCAGGCGCCCAGACTCCCCTGCCCGCCACTCACAGCCTGTTCACATTTTTGCATCCCTGCCGCCCGCGGGACCTGCGTGCCCGCCGGCTGCCCCACTCGGTGCCGGTGCAGGTAACCCCCGGAGGAACTAGGGCTGGCGGCAGGCGGCGGCCGGGGAGAGGCATGCCTTTTTAGGCAGCCGCGCCGCCCGCGCCGCCCCACGCAGCCCGAGTCTGCAGTCGCTCTCTGCCAGAGGCCGGGTTCCGCGCGCAGCCAGGGAGCGCCCCGCCGTGCACCCCGCCTGGCGGGCCGGGGGCGCGGGGAGCGGATTGTGCAACTTCCCAGCTCCCGGCGCCCGGCCGCTAGGTGAGCCGAGGCCGGGAAGGGGGAGGACGGAGGCGCAGGCGGAGGGAGGGGGGCCCGAGGCGGGCGGAGGGGCGCGCGGAGCCCGGGGGCGGGGCGCGGCGCGAGCTCAGCGCGGGGGCCGGGAGCCACCGCCTAGCCCCGGGGCTCCGGGCTGCGGTCCCTCCCGCCGCCAGCGCCGCCGCCGCCGCGCTGCCGGGAACAATGAGGCGCGCGGCGCGGGGCTGAGCGCAGCGCAGCGCCGGCCCCGAGGCCGAGCCACCAGCCGCGCCTGCAGCTGCCGCCCGGCGCCGAGCGCCTCTGGCCCCGGGGAGGTGATCCCGCAGGCCTCCCGGGACGCGAGCGCGGGTCGTTCGGGGGTCCCGAGGTGGCGCGGGGAGGCTGCTCCGCGGAGGCGGGGGCGGCCACCAGCAGAAGGATCTGAGCCGCGCGCGCGGCGTCCGCAGCCCCTAAGTTCCGCGGCGCGCCTCCGGCGCCCCCGGCCCCAGGTCCCGGCTCCCGCGAGCGGCCAAGGGAGTGTGGGAGCGCGTGGCGCGCGCGCCCGAGCGGCTGCCGGGGAATAAAATGTGACACGCACGTCTCCGACTCCAGCGCCGCGCGGCCGGGGAGCGCCGAGCACAGCGGGATCGGACGCTGCGAGGCGCGGCGTCCGGAGAAGGTTGGTCCGAGAGGGCAGGGGCTCGGACGGTGGGGCGACGTCTGCCTCGGTGTCGCCGCAGCCTGTGCGCTGCCCTGTAGGGAGTTAGGCTCGCCGACCAGGAGCCAGACCTTTTGGGGGGCGGGGGAACGTTGAGGGTTTTGGGGGAGAAGCAAGACATTCTTCGAGAGGGTGAGCGAACAGGAGGGCTTGAGCTTTTGGGGACGGGCGGACACAGTTGTGCTCCTGTGGTTCAGTCAGTGAAACGGCGATCTTTTATTTTATTTAATTTGGCTCTGGGAGGGAATCGAGATTTTTAATTGCCTTCCTCGACCCCACCCCCATGCAAAACTGCACTTCTTAAAGCGTAAAGTGTGTTCTATTGATCTCTAGTTTGCTGTAGCTATAATGTTTAGGGACAGAAGGTATCCTTAGAATCCCAGATACCCGGGTGTTAATTCTTAACGCACTTGCACGGGGGAAACTCTAGCTTTTAAGTTGTACTTTTCACCGTGTATAGAGAAGACCTTTGCTTTGGTTCCTTCTTTTGGGTAAGCAACGTTAACACCCATTTCTTTCGGATTTGACGGTGCTGGGGCACGGAGTGAAGTTAAACTTGTGGCTCGCAGCAAGTGATGCCTTACAAAGCGAGCTGAATAGCTGTGTTTGGAGAAGCCCTGCTTTCCAGGAATTTAAATGAGACTTTTTGTGGTTGCCTTCCAGGTCTCTCCTCCTAGTACCATATTTGTTTTGTCAGGCTGAACTTTCAAAGCTGTTTTATAATCCGAGAAGCACTTTAGGAGAAAAGTAATGCTTGGCTGGTTTTTTGTGAACTTATTTATACAGGGTCATGCTGAAAATTTGACGACAAGCAAACCATATTTGGTTGAAATCTTTGTTTTCTGTGCCTTTTGCGTTCTAACAGCGAAGGGGCTTGCTGATCCTCTGCGCGGGGCACTGGCTGCTTGGGTGAGGGTAATGTTGGAGCACTTGCCACAGATTTTGTGTTAAGTGCTTTGTGCATTGTGCATATTTTAAAAAGCCTCATGCAGGTTACTTGATAATTACTTTTTTTGGAATTGGGCTCAATATGTTTTGCCATTTTGAAGTAATTGTGACTAATGAAGAATTTCAAAAATTGAAATGCTGTATGTGATCATGTTGTTGCAAATTTAGGATTAACACTTCCTTTAAAAGATAAAATGATGTGTGGCCTTGAACTTATTTTTACCCACTTTCCTTCTCCCATTATTTTTCTGAAACTGACAGCCAGAATTTTTGCAGCACTCCAAGGCTTGCATTTCCTACTAAAGCTTGAGAAAAACTGTTGACAATGGTGAATGAATATTATGATCAAAATGGGGACCTAAAACCTATTTTAGGTTTCGCAACCTAAAATAATAGGTGAATTGCCTTGAATTTTACAAGTACGTTAAAAACAGGGGCACTCAAACATGTTGGAATCTTGATCCAGTTTTTATTGTGATTGATGTAAATTTTAGCATTTTACCTCTTTGTTTTGTGCAGTTGGAGCTTCTGGAGTTTTAAGTAAAATCTCTTGGCAAAATTGTGATGTGAGCCTCAGCTCTTAGTGGAATTCTGAGTCCCACAATTTAAACAGAAGGTGGAAACTGTTGGAGAGTGGTCAGAGCAGAGGCCAGCATTTGGTGGGTTTCTTAGGTGGTGCAGTCTATTTAGGAAGTAAAGATAATGAAATGAAGATATGCAGACTGGAGGGTTTAAGGCTGAGATAATTTAACGTCTAAAAATAAGTGAATGGGGGCACCTGGGTGGCACAGTGCGTTAAGCGTTCACTTGACTTTGGCTCAGGTCATGATCTCAGGGTCCTGGGATTGAGCTGTACTCACCGAGGAGTCTGCTTGTCCCTCTCCCTCTGCTCTTCTACCCAATCACACGCTTGCTTTCTCTCTCTCTCCCTCTAAAATAAGTAAATAAATCTTTTTCAAAAATGTATATGTATGAATGGATTTATTAGGCAGAGAAGGGCAATCAATCAACTATGCTTACTTTCTGGTGAGGACAGTTAAGAAAGAAAGGAAGGGTTTATGGGGCGCCTGGGTGGCTCAATCATTAAGTGTCTGCCTTCTGCTCAGGTCATGATCCCAGAACCCTGGGATTAAGCCCCGCATCGGGCTCCCTGCTCCGTGGGAAGCCTGCTTCTCCCTCTCCCACTCCCCCTGCTTGTGTTCCCTCTCTCGCTGTGTCTCTCTCTGTCAAATAAGTAAATAAAATCTTAAAAAAAAAAAAAAAGAAAGGAAGGGTTTATTTACTCTGGGGGTGAAGACTTAAGTTGGGGCTAGGGGAGGATTTGTGATCAGCCAGCCACATATAGGTTAAATAATGAAGTGGTTGCTGAGAAAGTCCTGGAGGTGCTTGTTTCCAGAGATTTTTCCTGGATTCTCCTCTTTCTGAGATGATTTAAATGTGTCTCTGATGTATTGCTTATACTAACTGCAGTTGTATACCGTAGGTCCAGAATGTACCCAAGCGTTTGTTTGCCAAGTGCTGCTTAAGTCTTTCCTAAGATGACAAACTCGTCCTGAGGTTTCTGCGTCTAGTGCCTAGATCAAATAAATGATGAGTTCCTTTCCACAAACTTGGAAATATTTGCCCTTTGAGAAACTGAGTTGATTTTCAGATTTAATGCCTCATTCCCGATATTTCTGAATAAAAATATCTTATGCATTGATAATGGGGACAATCTTTTAAATATTCACCTTCTCTTTAATTGTAATGTGTTTTTCCCCCTCCTGGATCTTCTGTTATATGATCTTAAATTTTGATTGGTTAAGTTAAATGAAATACTTCATTCAACTTGCTTAAATGTCTAAGCATAAATAATAGGTGTATGTTAAGTTTTAAGTTTTTAAGCATTGAAAGCTCCTGCTCAAAAAAGAACTATGGGATGAAGTTTACCACTGACTGTAAGAGAAATAATTACATAGAATCAGATGCTAATTTTGGAATCAGGAAAGTGCAGGTGTACATTTACATAGCAATTTTCAATGTTCTCAACAGGTTGAGGTCAAGGTCAAGGACTGAGTATGCTTTGGAAGTTGACCAGCCACTGTCAGTGGATAAACTTCAGACTTCCAGTTTATTTATCTGCCATTTTTCTGAAAGCCCTCCTTCCTACTTTTGAAAGGTTTGTCTGTAAACATTATTAAGTACACAGGGCACAGACAGGAGTATCAGAGAAATATGGATTTGTTACCAAATCCCATCCTGATCTGAAATTCCATGTCCTCCCCCCACGCTGAATTGATGGGGAACCACTGTAATGCTTGGAACCCACCCAACCTGTGGGCGAAGTGGTGGATTTCAAGGGTATGAGGTGTGAACTGGCAGTCCTAAGGCCTTCCAGACAGCAGTGGTTTGGTCCAGCACTAGCGTGGATCCTAGACCTGCTGCTGGGTAAAAGCGGGTTACTAGCAGTTGCCTGGCCACTGTCTTCACTTGGCCAGTGGCAGGTTCCGGGCCATCTCACAGTGCCACGTCCCTTCTGATTTGGGGAGGAAATGCTCTCTGGATGGAAATGGCATCAGAGAAAGGCTACGCCCCCTCCTCTCCCCGGGATTCCTCTGCACAGAACTGCTCTGTGTCCCTTCTGGGTTCTGCTGCCTCCTGTGGTCTTCCCTAGGAAAGGATTCTGAATTTGAAGTAGACATGGGCTCTAACAAGCTCCTTGGAAGGGTGTGTGGGTTAGGTTTGCAGTTTTGCACTGGACTTTCTCAGAGAGCGAAGAAGCAGCAAGGAAATCTCTTGGCCAGCGCCCCCAAACCTGAGTCCTAGGGAGTGCTATCCCTTCAGAGCAAGTCACTGGAGCAAGTCTGAGCCTTAGGAATGCTCAGTTTCCAGGGCTGGGAAATGAAGCCATACACAGATTAAATCATCTCCAAGGTGGCGTCTCTTGCTGGGATTCCATGCCATTGACTATTGTATATTCTTGCATACTTAACAGTGAATTCTCCTGCTCAGAAGCGAATTCCCCTTTAGTTAAACATGCTGGACATCCCTTCAAACACCATGTGGCCCAGCGGAGAGTAGTAACTCAAAGAATAGTAAGAGCAATTGCTTCAGACTGACTATGGACTATACCCTGCCACTTGCTCTTCACAGCTTATCAAAGCACACCTTAGCCACAACCCCAGGGTGGATGGTTATACCCATTTTATAGGGGAGGAGACTGAGCCTCAGAAAGATGAAGTGCCTTCCTCAATATCCCATAGTGGGAGAGTGGCAGAGCTGGGTTTTGGACCTGGGTTTGTGTGTTTGGAAGTCTGTGCTGTGGAGATTGCGCTCAGACTCTGTAGAGGAGCAAGCATGACACTTCTGGTGGTCATTGTCCTGGGGCCAGAGAAGGACTGTGCCCGTGAGCTTTCATGTCTCAGACCATGGCCGAGCTTTCTGGACGAGGAAGATTGTATTGGATGGAAGGGGATGGCAGGGGCACTCATCAGGCAAAGCCCCGCATGGATTCACTGGAACCTGGAAGCAGAAAGGGGCATGAAATGCAACCTAAAAATGGCCCCCACAGGTGAGACTATCTGGGCAGTCGGTATTAGAATGAAAATCAGGCTCCTATGAAGGGTGTCTTTGCAAGTGAAATTTCCAAGGAAAATTTTAAGCTAAGATTTGAGAAAATTATCCCGATGCTCTGAGTTATTAGGTCAGTGAAGAGAGCAAGCTCAGAGAGTAATATCTCGGGACATTTAGAAATATATTGGCTAAAGCATGAGAGAATACATTGTAAAGAAAAATCCTGCGATATCTTGATTATAAGCTGCTGTTTTCAGAAGTTTATAATTCATACATTAAGTTCTACTCGAGGCTGCTCCTAGTATTTGAGCCTGAGAGGGAAATGCGTTATTAAATTTAAAACAATTGGATTTCTGTGTTCAAATTATACAAATTTTTCAAGTAGAGGTTCTTGCATGTTGGTAATTGTGGTTTCTAAAATGACTTAGCTTTAAATTAAATTTGGAAAAGGGTAAATCTCT